GGGTGAGAGTACAGTTTCACACAGGGGGTCAACGCGTCCTCTGTGAGAATGATCTTGGCCAGCTGCTTGATGACACGACGGAGCTCACAGATCTGACACTCGATCTGGGTCTGCTGTACGTCGATGACTTTTAGCGTGATTCATATTCACAGCACTGGCTGATCTTTTGCGTGTCTGTGCGCAGATGGGCGTGCGAGAGTAAGCCCGAGTTGAACGTGCGCATTATGACTTGCCAGGAACTGGCAAGTGCTGCATCATCTACGATAAGAATTCTGGATTTCGACGCAATCGTGGTTCCAGTTTGGAACGAGTGAGTGGGTTTAGGCGTTTCGCCTAGCACAGACATCGCCCCTTGATGACTCAAGAGTCCCCCACCGTTCTCCATACTTTGCAGATGGCGTGTCGGAGTAGGGGCGCCGGCGCTCTTCGTCGTTGCGCATCCCAACGACTTTGCCAACGCGGAGGGCACGGAAACGCGCTTTTGCAGCTTCTTCTTGGACCCGAAGCGTAAGGGCCACAGTGCACGCCAATCTGGATTTGGTTGTATGTCAGGATGGATGCGGAGGTGAGTTGGTTTGGTGATCGTGGTTGTTCTTTGTCTGATGCAGGGTGACAATATTTAACAGCGTCATTGCGGTGTAGCAGATGGTTCAAGGACATGGTGCTGCGTGAGTTACGCGACCGTATGCATCACATTACTGAGGGGAGCGCAGGCGACCGTTGGAGGAGGTTTGCCAACAACTCGTTCGACGTCGACCTCCTCGTAGAAGAGCTGGATTTGGACGAGCCTGTATCAGGGGTGTGGTGCGTGCGTTTCCTGATCGACTTTCTAGCGGACATGGAAGGCTTCACAGCCCGCCGCGGGGTTGGGGAATTGTACCCATCCTCGTCTGCGCGTGATTTCCACAGCATGCGTGAATCTATCGCCCGTTTCGTTCATGGACTCCGTTCTGGTGGCGTATACCATACTTGTTCCGCGACTGCCGTCGATGATGAGTGCGAGCGAAGCGAGGTTGACACCCCGGATGTCATTTTTGAACATTCCGACTAGTCCATGGCATTTGTTGATGTGAAGGAGGTCGATACACGGTGTGGTGACGGGGATTATACTACCATTACTGTAGTATTTGGTCCTTACATGACTACCAAGCTAGGTTATTGGCGGTACCGTTGAGGGAACTTGTAAATCGTCGACCGTCCATAGACATGGCAGTCACCATCAACGCAACCGTGACCATCTACAACCCCGTTACATCCTAAAATCATCATAGCGGCATTGCCGAAGCTCCGATCCACGCAGTGTATTCCGCCTATCACCAGTCTACTACACGCACTGGTGGCTTTGTCACAACCGTTACAAATTATGTTACCACAGCCGAAAATTTATCGCAGTGCATTTCGGTGACCAAACGAAGATCGCGGTAGCATTTTGTGGTTTCCAACATAGATCGCGCCGGGAAGCCCACATAGCGGAGCCACCTCCGAACGATGTGAAAAGCGTATATATTCAGCGTCCGTTTTCCAGTAGAAATCGGTAATTTTGTACATGCCATCCATTTACCAAGACACAATAGGGTGCATCCAGAGATTTCGTCCCTAGTAGATGGCGGTGTTGGTGGACGCGGTGGGAAAACAGCATGCGGTGCAAAGGCCATTCAGGTCACACTGTTGTTTCTCTCGTCGAACATCCTCCGGAGACGTAGTTTTCTGTTCCGTGCAAACAGTCGGTGGAAGAAGGCGCAACATGGGAAACCACAACAGCGAACATAGTCGCAATTTCACAGTCGCCATATGCTGGAAAGCGTACTTTCCTGATACGGACTTGCATGCGTACGGTCTGGCTCCCGAGCATGACAATTTTTGGCCAACCGCCATGACGTACGCAGAACGACTTCCAACGGGGATGTGGAGTGTGTTGAACAGGCTTCATCTCGACAGAATTGAAAAGTAAGGAGGGGTATCTCGCACCACACCTGACGTTCACACCCGTCGATTACTACCTGAAGTTTGCCGTTCTTTCCCATTTCAACAGCTTCAGGACCGTGGTGAACACAACCACATGGCGCCAGTTCGCAGGAGACCGATTTATAACAGCAATCAGCGTCGGAGCCGGCCGCACTGTGCTGGACGCCGAGGGTCGCGGCGTGCCGAATCCGCGATTTATATCGAGGGAACTGTTCGCGGCTGGAGTTACAGCTGCTCTCCACACGTTAACCGCAGCGTCAGTGGGAGCTTCTCCTCGATCGTACGCTCGTCGCGCCAGATCAGCAGTTTGCAGCGTTATCAACGATAGCGTCATAGCCAATCGTGCTGCATTGTCTGCAGGGATTGCCATGCGTTTGATGCGGTGTCCCCCGTATGTCGAATACAATGGTCCGACGTGGACTGCCCTGCTTGAACGAGCCATTTTCGAAATTCAGGATCCTGCCACAGTCGATGACGACGTTAAATATCAAGCCTTGGTCGTCGCTGGAATCTTCGTTTTCTGGTGTGAATGCGGACACGCCGCATCGCAACTGGCCGCTCAGGTAGGCGGTGCATTCGTTTTCGGTGAGGGTGGCATGTGTCAGGGCCCTTCGTTTACCGAGGTGATAACAAAATGGTTGATTAGCGCTGGGGCCAATTGATGGGACATTGCAATCTACAAGCTAGTGAAAACTAATGTGTTTTTTCGCATCTATTATTCATGTAGGGGATAAGTGTTTTTACACAGTTCAGGATGTAAGATCCTCGGTTGATAAAGGTGCGCAATATGAGAATCCTGCAGTACACCGCGCGCCACTTGACGAGACCTACGAAACTCGCACACTTGCTAATACATGTAACGCAGCTATTCAAAAGTGTCAAATATGACGGTGTAACAAAGATCGGTAACCATTTGCCACGTGTCTCGAGGACGGGAGGCCATTCGGAGAGCACGAAGCCGTGCCATGTACCATTGCGGAGATCACGATGCATGATGAACATCGTACACGGGTATATAGGGGACCCCATCCCTAAACAAGGCACATACAGACCTCGTGCCATTTTGCACTACTGACTGTTACTATTCCCCCGACAATGGCCGCCCAGTTCAACGCGCTCGGAAAGGTACGTGGATTGGCGAGGCCATTCAGGACGGCTGGTTTTTACACGCGTTCCAGGAGCATGCGGGAGGATCTGTTCTGCGCGGAGCAGTTTGTGGGTGGTAGAAAGCGCAACTTGGGTGTCCACCTCGACGAGGCTCATCGCAACTGTTAGGGTGGTTCGCCACTGCCCTAGTGTCTACTGGCCTACGCGCCTGACCTAGGGACGGTAGATGAACTCTAGGAACGGTGGGAACTACGAACTAATGTGGGGAACCGATGCCTAGATCGGTGGGACTGAAAACGAGGAATCTACGGGAGGAAAACGTGAGGAAAACGGGGAGAAACAGAATGTTGGAGGATTAGGGTTCGCGAAATGTCGAGAAGACATTTCCGAAGCCTAGAAATGTCCAACCGAAACCGAACCGTGTTCGGTGCAGAAGGGTTTCGGTTCCGGTGACGGTTACCGAAATCGGTTCCGCGTGCGACTCGAGCTGAAACGCGGATGACGCGTTACGCGAGGCGCACATCACAATTCGAAATGCTTAAATGTGTTTGTTTTCAATCAGTTCTTTGTACTTCTCTGTTTTGAGTGAAATCAGTCTTGGGAAACCAGAATTCTCTTCAAGCATTTACTACCTTCAACGCTAGCCGGAGGCTATACCCAAACTAAGAGCTGGTATCAGAGCTTGGTTCTCGTCGCGTCGAGCCTCGTTATAAAAGCGTTGGAGGCGTTATAATTTTTTAGAGTATTGAAACGGGCGATTATTCAACGACATGGGGAAAGGAGATGGAGAGGCCAGTTCGGGGTCCTCTGTGAACACTGACGGTGTGCAGCTGCAGAGTCTGCTCGATGCCCTTGCCAAGGGGCAAATCGTGGCCAAACCGACGATTGGCCTAAGTGAAGCTCAACGCTTCAATGGTGAGAACTTCGGCACATGGCGACTGAAGTTCATGAGGCGCGCTCGGGAGGTAGATTTGTGGCACTTCTACAACCCAGAGGCAGCGACGGAGGACGACGGACTTGCACCTGCAACCGCACAAGAGAAGAAAGCGTTTAAGAAGAGAAGCCAACAAGCTTTCTTTCAACTCTGCCACTCGGTCTCGGATGCGATCGCGGCACGACTCGACCCGTTCTCTGAGGAGGACAACGCAGCAGAGAAGGCGTGGACGTACATGGAACGAGTGTACCTCGGGAAAAGCGAGGCAAAGATGACAGCAGTGAGGACGAAACTCATATTGCTGGCCATGGAACCTTCCGAGACGGTGGTGGACTACGTGGGCCGTGCTAAAGGCTACAACGACGACCTGACGGCTATGGGAGTGCCCGAATCGGAGAAGCAAATGATGAGCTACATCATTGGCGGCCTACCGAAATCATGGGCAGCAGAGAAGCGGATGCTGGCCTGCAGACGCCCGACGGACATGACGGACCTAGTGGAGTCCCTTCAAGACGTGGCGCTTATACGTGCTGAGGAAGAGCGAAGGGAGGCGCTGCCGGACAACTTCAGCAACGACAAACCTGCCATGTTGAATGCAACCGGGGCGGGGAAGGCATTCGGGGCTTGCTTCCACTGTGGGAAGAAAGGGCACAAGGCTGCAGAATGTTACTCCAACCCAAAAAGCAAGAATTTCAAAGGAAAGGCAGCAGGAGCAAGCGGAGAAGGGCAACGACCGAGAGGCGGATTTGCTGGAAACTGCAACCACTGCGGGAAATTTGGGCACAAAGCAATCGACTGCTACAGCAACCCGATGAGCAAGAGCTTCAGGGGAGGGCAGCAGCAGCAAAGGAATCACGTACCTGCGAAGATCAACGCCACCGAAGCGGAAACCAGCGACGACGACGTCATCCTCGGTGGAGCCCACAAGGCCAATGTTGCAAGAGCATCCGGAGCATGCCTGCTTGCAAAGGGCCTTAAGGGGAAGGAGCGGTACATGGACAGCGGTTGTACCCAACACATGACGAACCGGAAGGAGTGGCTGCAAAATTTCAGAGCATCACCGATCCCGTACATGCTGTTGGGTGACGAGGGAAAACTTCCTGTGAAAGGCGAAGGAGACCTAGTGCTGCAAAGTGCTTATGGTGAGGTGAAGCTGGACAACGTGCTGCTGGTGGACAAGCTCACACTCAACCTCATTAGCCAATCTCAGCTGGACAGCGGTGGATGCAAGACCTTCAGTGATAAGGGCAGCATATGGGTGTTCGGTTCGGATTGGAAGGTGATAGCTGAGGGATCACGCAAGCAGGGGTTGTACGAGATGAAGCTGCACGAAAAACAGAGTGGGGACAAGGTCACATACCTGACTGAACCGGAAGCGGGCAAGGTGGCTCGAGATGAGCTTCGTACCAAGCTGGAAAAGGTGCCTATTAAGGAGTTGCAGCAGCAGGCGCTTCCTATGGCAGCAGTAGTGAGCACGGTGGACGTCAACCTGCTGCATAGGAGGATGGGGCACGCTGGTCATTATCGAATCAAGGAGCTGATTAAGAAGAACATGGCAGCGGGAGTGAAGGTAGCTGAGGGTGGAGAGGAAAATCTGAAGTGCAGCACATGCGTGGAAGCAAAGGCAACAAAGGCGCCACATCCCAAGCATTGAGCTCGTGAGCTGTACGAGACGCTGGCTATTGTGGCAGCCGACGTATGTGGACCGATGAGGGTGGCTTCACGACATGGCAGCAAGTATTTCGTTACCTTCACCGACCTCGGCACACGACACACGTGGGTGACGGAGATCAAGAACAAGTCGGAAGTCTTCACGAGCTTTCTCGATTGGCAAGCGGAAGCGGAAAGGCAAAGCGGCAAGAAGCTGAAAGTGTTACGCATGGACAACGGGGGAGAATTCGTCAACGCCGAGTTCAACACGTACCTGAAGTCAAAGGGCATACGAAGGCAGCTCACGGTCCCGTACACACCTCAACACAACAGCATTGCGGAGCGGGTGAACCGATCACTGCTGGAGAGTGTGAGGAGCTTGCTCGCGGACAGCAACCTGCCTCTACACTACTGGGGAGATGCGCTAGGAATGGCATGTTGGCTAAAAAACCGGCTACCGACAAAGGGACTAGCGGCGGACGTTACCCCTCACGAGGCGTTCTACAAGAGGAAGCCGAATCTAGAGTTCTTACGCGTTTGGGGCTGCATGACGCAATACCGTGAGGCGACGGGACCCGATCACAAGCTTCTCCCAAGGACCAAGTGGGGGATCCACTTGGGAATCTGCCCGGAGAGCAAAGGGTGGGTCATACGCGATGTGGAGACCGGGAAAGTCACTGCGACCAGAGATGTTACTTTCTACGAGAGTGACACCTACGTGGAGTGGAAGAAAAGGAAACAGGGAGCTGTGGTAAAGGAAGCGGCAGCAGCACCAACTCCAGTGGAGGAGATGATAGATGGGAGTGAGAAGGAGGGGATAGGGGCAGCAAATGGCAGCAGTGACAACGATGACTACGAAGACCACACTACACCAGGATTCGATTGGGTGTGGGAGGTTCAGGAGCTGCCCCCACCTTCAACTGCTGTGGAAAAGAGTGCAGAAGAAAAGGATAAGGGAGGAGAGACGGGTGACAACTCAACGGCTGAAGCGGGTGAGGAAGAAGCTGAAATTTCTGCTGCGGAAGAGAGTGTGGCTGAATCTGCTAGTACGAGCTCCTCCGACCCATGGCGCATCATTGACACGGGGAACAACAAAAAGGCGGTAGCAGAGATTGAAGACCTACTTGCGGATGGTGCTATCATCATCGGAAGGGCGATTGAAGGAGATACCGTGCAACAAGGAGCGGAAGAAAATGCAGCAGCAGAAGAAGGTGGAGCTGAAAAGGAGCATGAGGAGATGGGCAAAGGGAAACGGGTCAAGAAACCCAATCCCAAGTATGCCCAAATGCTTCTGACCTGCTGCAAGGACATCCACACCCACCTCCTCCTTACCACCACAGCAACAGCGTTACTATCAAAGGGGAAGGTGGAAAGCTACAAGCTGCCCACCGAGCCTCTCACCATTGAAGAGGCGCTGTCCGGGCCGGACAAGGAGCAGTGGAGGGCTGCAATCCAGGAGGAACTCGATACATTGGCTGAAAGGGGGACATGGGAGCTTGTGAACATGCCCGAGGGGAGGAAAGCAGTGGGGGTGCGCTGGATTTTCAAGATTAAAACGGGAGACATGGGACAACTTGATCGTTTCAAGGCACGACTTGTTGCTAAGGGCTACACACAGGTGGAAGGAGAGGACTATGATCAACTCTACGCACCCGTGAGCAAGTTAGCAACGGCAAGGACCATGCTAAAGGTGGTGACGGCACGTGGGTACTTCATGGTGCAGCTGGACATCAAAAATGCCTTCCTCTATGGCATTTTGAAGGAGACTATCTACATGAATCAGCCACCGGGGTGCGAGGACGGCACGGACAGAAAGTGCAAACTCATTAAAGCACTTTATGGGCTGAAACAAAGCCCACGGGAGTGGTACCTAGCTATGGACGCGCAGCTGGAAAAAGGGGGGTTCAGCAAGAGCCAATGTGACCGTGCATTCTACTGGAAGGGAGAGGGGGAGAACAAGGAGTTCCTACTCCTCTACGTGGATGATATCCTTGTGGCTGGAGCAAAGGAAGAGAAGGTGGAGGAGGTGTGCACTCACCTCGCAGCTGTATTTCAAGTGAAGAAGATTCCAAGGACCACTCTCTTCCTTGGAATGAACATGGAGTGGAATAGGGAGGAGAAGAAGTTGCTGCTATACCAGAAGAAGTACTTTCAGAGGTTGCGGGAGAGGTTTGGAGAGCAATGCAAGCCCAAATCAGTGACAACACCTCTCAGCAGCCTTGCGGACAAGGAGGTCGATGTGGGAGCAGAAATGGAGGCATGGGGCAGCAAGGAGAGGGCGCTGAAAGCTTACCAATCCATGGTAGGCTCAGTCATGTACCCGGTGTCATGCACACGGGTTGATGTGGCAGCGGGTGTTGCAGCCCGAGGGACGCAAGTGGAAGGAAATGGAGAGGACTATCACTTACCTCCTGCAGCGGGACGATGAGGGGCTGCTGTTTGAAGGTGGAGAGGAGAGCCTAGAGCTAGTGGGGTATGCTGATGCCTCACACGGATCAGACAAGATTGATGGGAGGGGAGCCTATGGCTATGTCTACCTCCTTGGTGGAACGGCAATCATGTGGCAAGCCAAGAAGCTCACCGACGTCGCTCTGTCCACCACGGAGTCTGAATACATGGCGCTGTTTTTTGCATGCCAAGAGGGTGTGTGGCTGAGGCGCCTACTTCAGGAGATGGGGGTCAACGTGGACGGACCTACAACGATCAAATCGGACAGCAAATCAGCAATTGACCTCGCACGAAACGACAACTGGCATGGGCGCACGAAACACATGAACGTGCGGTACCATTGGGTACAGGAGCAGCTGCAGAAGAAGGCATTCACCTTCGTGCATGTGGGAACACATGAGCAGCCAGCGGATTTCCTCACCAAGGTGCTGCGAAAGGCAAACTTCGAGTTTTGCAAGTATTTTGTCGGCATACGTACCTTGCAGGACTTGCGGGGGAGCAGCGGAGCAGCAACCCGAGATGTTACACCGTCGTACGGACAAGCTCAGCAAGAGAAGAAGAAGGCTGGTTACATGGTAACCACGGGAGCATAGGAGAGTGGCAGCTGGCAAACCACGGGGGAGATTGTTAGGGTGGTTCGCCACTGCCCTAGTGTCTACCGGCCTACGCGCCTGACCTAGGGACGGTAGATGAACTCTAGGAACGGTGGGAACTATGACCTAATGTGGGGAACCGATGCCTAGATCGGTGGGACTGAAAACGAGGAAGCTACGGGAGGAAAACGTGAGGAAAACGGGGAGAAACAGAATGTTGGAGGATTAGGGTTCGCGAAATGTCGAGAAGACATTTCCGAAGCCTAGAAATGTCCAACCGAAACCGAACCGTGTTCGGCGCAGAAGGGTTTCGGTTCCGGTGACGGTTACCGAAATCGGTTCCGCGTGCGACTCGAGCTGAAATGCGGATGACGCGTTACGCGAGGCGCACATCACAATTCGAAATGCTTAAATGTGTTTGTTTTCAATCAGTTCTTTGTACTTCTTTGTTTTGAGTGAAATCAGTCTTGGGAAACCAGAATTCTCTTCAAGCATTTACTACCTTCAACGCTAGCCAGAGGCTATACCCAAACTAAGAGCAACTTCACGGTCGCCGTTTGCTGGAAGGCGTACTATCCAGATATAGACATGCTGTCGTACGGGATGAACCCGGAGCAAGTCAACGCCTGGCCGAGGTATCTGCTGTTCGCGGAGCTTATGCCAACGGGCATGTGGAGTGTTCTTAACGAGCTCCATCTTGACACCTTTGATAAGTGAGTGGCATGAAACGCACTGTTTTCCGCAAATTAGGAGTGCTGTTGTAGATGTCGTGGGTCTTGTTATGTAGCTTACATCAATCCCTTACGTTGTCGGTCCCCGTCACCCATCCCTACCATAGTTTCCGGGACTTCGTGGCAAGGGCAGAATATCGCTTGAGGGCAGGGGACGGTATGATGACTGCACTCTGCGTCGCTGCAGGTCTCACTGTCATGCACACTCAGGATCGCGGCGTGCATCGTCCGCGAGATGTATCCCCAGTCCAGTTCGCTACAGGAGTCACATCTGCCCTCTACACGCTGTCCGCAGTGTCCAGGGGCGATCCTCCACTAACATACACAACTGGAGCCCGAGCAGCAGTTCGCATCGTCATCGATGACATCGTCATTGCCGATCGTGCTGCTGAGTCAGCTCGTATTGGCATAGTTGCTATGCAGAGTCTCGCCGGTGTTGTACATGGCAAGTCTAGATGGGTTACAGTTCTGGGAGAAGCCATTTCCGAAACACAAGATCCAGGAGGGCTCAACGAGTGAAAATGCTTGCCAGAGTGGTTGCGTCAGTCATTGTTTACTGGTGTGAATGCGGACACGCAGCAGCACGACTAGCCACACAGGCTGGCACTTCCCTTAGCTTCAGTGTTCGTCGTATAGGTTAAATGCAGAGGTGAGGGATCCTAATTGGCCATGTTCCCGTGGTTTGTGTTATGGTTTCAAGTGTACCATGCGGAGCTGCTTGTACATGGACGTATCAAATTTGTAAAACAATCTGATGCATTAGATGTTGGTATTCGTAAGTGCGCCGAGCGGCTGACAAGCTGGAAGTCTAGTCTAGGGGAAGCACAGAGAGTGCTTCAGAAACTTTTGGAGACTACTCGAAGAAACATTGCACTGGCACCAATAGACTAGTGCACGTGCCGCTGTCCTGGATAGCGGCATAGCGGTGGCGTGTGCGCTGTCACTCAGCATACTTTTGATTCTTTCTGCGAGAATGGGAATCCACCCGGTCTTATCGTGCGACTCGTTACCCACGCTTGTGAGAGCGGTTGGTATGCAGACGGCAGCATTGGCAACCCTGGTCGCCTCCAAGTCGTCAGGGATCGTGGTTGTAGCCACGTCTAAAGCCTTCTCCTTGAGACCGTGAAGGGGCGCTCCGACAGACGCCATCCACAACACGTAGATGGAAGCCGCCAAACCAGACCCGAGAATATCGGGGTTGACACCCTTTGGGGACGCGACGCAACCTGCACTAATCGCCGAACATCCGATTCCCGCGCACACCGCAATCTCCCATGGCACACCTTGAAGAACTCGCTCGCTCGTCTTTGAACAAATCATGCGGAACCTGCAAAGGAGGCCACAAACGAGGTGAGTAGACAACGCCACAATCGCCGTAAAACTTCGTACCATACGTACTGGTCGTATTGGTCGAGTGTCAGCTCGTTCAAGACACTCCATACACCAGTGGGTATACGCCTTGCCAAGTCCAGCTCCTCCCTCCATTTCTGAATGTCAGCGGCGTCGATCCCGTAGCATCGTAGATCCACGTCCGGGAAATATACACTCCAACAGACAGCGGATATGAAATCTCGCTTCCACTTTTCCGTGTGACAGCCCATGCTTCGCTTCCGACCCCCCACTGTCTGCTCAGACCGGAACTGATCTGCGTCAGTACCCTTGCGCCTCACACTAAACCCGCTGCTGCAAAACGGTTGCTGTACTCCTCCTTTCTTGCCAAGCCTGTCTGGAACCACGATGGAATGATCTTGTGCTTCCACATGCTCACCCTCAGATTCCACCACCGCCCCTGTAAAGGTAAACGGCGGTTTTGTCCCCAGGACCGCCCTTAGCGTACTGATAGGTCGATCTTCGTCGATGACGGCTTCATCGTCGTCACTGTACTGGTTCAGAAAGTCCATGATTCCTTCAAAAGTCAGCACGGTCCGCGTGACGTTGGCGTCCGTCTGTGTATCTGCGATTTTCGGTTTGCTGGCACGCCCGTCCTTTTTGTTCGCCCGTCCAACCGTGCCCTCCAAGTCTCTTTTCACGCCTCCTCTTGCTGTCAACCCCGTATCTTTGAAAACCGCCCTTCGATATGCTACATTAGCGCGTTCAGTCCCACCCTCAGTATGGAACCTCCTTGGCTGCTTCCCATCGGTATCGAAGGAGACTGCACCCTCAGCTTCTATTCCAGCGTCGTACGTACTGCATGTGGCCTTGTCTGTGCCGTCGGTGTGATATGCCAATTGGCCCGCATCGTGGCGACGGACGCCCGCAGCTAGTCTCTCACCTACTTGGCTCAGTAGATCCGTCTTCATGGTTTCGAAGCAAGTATGGAACTCCGCCGTTAGGCCTTCAACACATTTTACAATGCATCGTGTCGATTCCCTCTCAAACCGCGCCAACGATTCAGGATGCAGTTGCAGTCTGATACCACCATTCTGTGCCGTCTTGTCAATCGCCGCTGCCACTAGATCATCCACGGTGGTGACAAGTGTTAGCATCGCTGACTTGTCGTCGACTTCTGCGGATCTCCCTGCTGAATCGTTTAACTTGGATGCATCTGCAAGCTTTGGGACATTATCAGCGGCCAAGTTACGCTGTCGTTCTCCCACGGTTCCACAATTGCTAATGACGTTTCCTGACGCGAGTACGACTGTTGAGGGGGTGCAGGCTTGGTTGGGACTATTCGATGCATGGGCTGCACAGTCCAACGCACCGGTGGAGTCGCCCAACGGGTTGTTAACGTTCGCTATGTCATCGAAGAGTGGCTTTAGCGAGGCCACAAGATCCACAAGTATGCTGTCCTTGGACAGCCGTCCGCGACCCAAGAGGAGCGACTCATTCGAGTTGAGGTTGAGGATGTAATCCCATCTATCTAGTAACTTCCGCCACTCTTAAATCACATGCAGTGCTGATCCGGCCGACGTCATCGATACTCCGTCCGATGGTCTCTGCGCGAACATTGCCAAGGTGTTTATCCACAGTTCACATTTTCAGAAACCAACCAATAGCACCCGAATCTACCTTGGCGTCCAGTTGCAGTTCGGTCAGGTAGTTTTCCATGTCGCGCACAACCGCTTGGGCGTGACTGCTCGACACGCTGTTACCGCCAGTGTATTCAACTACGAATTGGCGCTTAAGCCACCTGGGTCGGGGGGGGTGCCAGAACAAAACATACGTTAGGAGCGGCTGGAAGGTCGATCGCTACGTTAGCATGTACGCAAATCTCACTGGAATACGCTGGATGCATGCTCGGCGTGCTTGTGCGTTAAGACAGTCCCTTTTGGATCATAGTGGATCGCCCGGGTGCGGTATATTCCTCGCGGCTGCGCAATCAGATCGTCCGGATGAATAATGACGATCATGCTTACGTGCGCTTTTGGCGCGACACCGTGCCTGTCAAACAAAAGAAAAGGGTTATGGGACCTCGTAATAGGGTATCGAGAAACCACCCGAATTTTGTATACCAACCACTCACTCCGTGTGCAGCGGAACCACGACGATGTCTTTCGACAAAAGTCCAACGAGTGATGGTAGTCCTAAGGGCTTTAAAGGATCTCGTTCTTTTGCCTCGGTAACCACCGTCGACGATATGATGTGCAGTTTATCCAATTGTTGCGGGTGTAGTACAGTTGTCGCCTGCTTTCTGCAACGACCAACATAAGGTTGTTACACATCTCCATATGGACCACGACAATCTACGAAATACTTACAAAACTGCGTAGTCGAGCAAAGGAGCTGGCCATTCGGACTTGCTGTTTTGCAAAAGTAAGTATAGCGCCCTGTCCACTGAAACATCGACACCACAACCCGCCACGCGCAGTGAAGCCATCGTGAGCTGCGTTGCCGACATATAAAGCTCTCAGAATCGTTGTGGAGCTGGTTAGGGTTTTCCAGCTCTGTAAAGCGTGTCTCGAAATTGCTTACAACAACTAGCTTGTGCGTCTTAAAGGTTCACAGGCTCATTAAGGGTCAACCAGGGCGTATTCTTGTGATTCTTGTTGGGTTTAAATTACAGTTTGGAGCGTGCAGATGCTCCGCACATAAATGAACCTTACGGGGTCTGAACATCCTTCTCCATACTACACATAAGTGAGAACAGATGCTATTCCCTTGCTGAAGTCACGTTGGAGACAGAGTTTGAGGTTGCTTTTTTATCATGCGAGTGAATTGTTGCTAGTACGACACGTGGCTGATCCACCTTAGTATCCGGTGCGAATCGCGAGGCATGCAACGAATTGACGCCTAATCACGTTTCTCGCCAAGCTATCACATCGACTACAATCATCGACAACTAGGGTTTAGAATACTGTCGTGCTTTCAAAAGTTTCCGACCACACATCCACAAAGCATACGACGCACCGGTAATTACTTGGTCTTCGATTTGTCGATAGCACCAACGACTTTCTTCTTTGATCCCCGCTTTGATGGAACAACCTCCAGAACCACACCCAGGTGTTCTCTGAGACCAGCCGTAGCAACCGAGCACTGGCACCAGTAAACTATGACGCGCAACGCCACTCTCGCCAGTGTCAAGGCAGAATCGTGCGTGCTGTCTTCCATTAGACTCTGAATCTTCTCCGCCAGAAGAGGGATCCACTGATGCTTGTCGCGAGTGACGTTTGCAAAACTAGTCACTGCGCCTGGGATACACGAAGCAGCCTCAGCGGCTTTGGTGTCCACTTCAGTGTCGTTTACAGTGGCCTTGGCAGCATTCATTGCGACGTCTTTCAATGGCTCTTGAGGGTTTCCCATAGAACCGAACCACAAAACACTGAGAGACGCGGCCACCGCTCCAAAGATCAAAGCGTTGACTCGAGTTGGGACCGCGCCACTCCCTTTCAGTGTTGCAGCAAAACCTATTCCCGAGCATAGCGCAATCTCCCACCGAACCCCCGCGTTGGCGCGCTCATTCGTCATCGCCAAGACGTTTACGAAACTGCACCATTCAAAAACATCGCTAACATTGAGGTATGTGTATTGTATCGACAACTCAAAATGCGCCAGACTTACTTGTCGTAGCGGTCGAGCGTGAGCTCGTTCATCACGCTCCAAACGCCAGTTGGAATTCGCTTCGCTAGCGCGAGCTCTACATGCCACTTCTCGACGTCCGTCTTATCCATTCCGTAGCAGAGGAGGTCAACATCCGGGAAAAAGACACTCCAGCAGACCGCGATCGTAAAATTCCTGCGCCACTTTTCCGTGTAGCACCCCATGTTGCGCCTTCGCCCACCGACCGTCTGCTCCGAAAAGAACTTGGGCTGCGGTGAAATCTTTCTGCCTGACAAAGAAGCCGCCCGATCGGAAAGGTCTACTTACCCCAAACTTTTTGCCCAACTTGTCGGGGACGATGTTGGAATGGTCCTGTACCTCAACATGCTTACCATCCTTTTCCTCCGAAATTTCGGGCACTGCTTGAGTCTGCTGCGCCCCGTCTACTTTCGGGATGTTCCCGATAGGGTCGTCATCTTCTTCCTCGTTCCAGTCAGGCATATTCGCTTGCAGGTAGCGCATTACTCCATCCAATGTCAGCTTATGTTCCCCTTGCTTATCGGCGTCATTTGCTGCTCGCGGAATCTTGGCCGGCGGGGTTGTTTCCGTCTGCTTTGTGGGGCTCGGTGGCCGTTTTCCCCCATCCAAGCCGGTCACTGGCACGTTTGGTGCCGCCGCCTCCATGACCTTCTCAGAGCCATCGGGCACAGCATCGGCCTCTTCGCCAAACTCCCACTTGGACAGTACATGTTCTGCCGCTCTCAGTGACGACCCAGGTGACTCGTCATCTCTCTTGGTCTGCCTCTCGTGTCCAGATGGAGGCTCTGCGCAAACTGGAGGCGGCCGCTTCTCGCCTTCCGTAGGCGGGACAACCACGCCAGAAGCATTCAGCTTTTCCTCGATAAGCTTCAAAACCTCTGTTTTGAGGACTTTGAATCCGGTGGAGATCTCTTGTCGGATCGATGCTACAGCCGCGTCTATGCCTTTCTTAACAGCCTTCTCCACGGTTTGCAGTACGTCGTCTGGCAGAGTCACAAGGAAACGGCCCTCGCTTGTGGCCTTAACCAGCGACGCAGAGACCGCCGCATCCACCATTTTACCGAGCTCGCTCATCATCAGGTTGGGCCCCATTGCCACACCATGAGCTGCGGTCGATGGTTTGCTGTCCGCATCCACCGGACGCAGTGGCTCGTCGCCCTTGAGAATTAGCGCGTCCTTCATGGGTCCACCATCTTGAGGAGCCGAATTTGGAACGTGTAGTGTTTGGTTCGATGATCCAAGCATTTTTTGTGGCCCACCCGATACCGCTGCTGCTGCTGCACCCTTCTCGTTCGCGATCAGCCGATCTCTCAATTCAGCACGCAAGGCCTCCTTCAGTTCCTCATGAATCTCGGCTTTGCTGAGACGACCAACTCCGAGGTGTACTTTCGTGTTTGGTGGACAATCCAGGATGTAATCCCACTTGTCGAGTATTTTGGTCCACTCGTAGATCACATGAAGACCCGATCCAGCCTCCGATTTGGGCACGCTAGCCTTGGGCGTCTGCATGTACAGAAAGAACGTGGTTAATAACGACCTTATAGCCAACGGGCACGCCAAATGTCTCAATACCTTTTCATCGAGACGTAACTCTGACAGCGACTTTTTCATATCGATGATTTGCTCTTGAGCCTGCTTTGATGGCTGTTCGGTGCCGTCTGTGAACTCAACCACGAGTTGCCGTTTATGTGAAAGAGAGAACGAGAATGGAATGACTATGAAAGAAGTGAGTACAAATAGGAAACCCTAATTGGGTTGTACCCCCTATGGGATACCCCACTATAGCCTACACAATAGTATAAGCTATATAGTTCTGACACACCCCCATAGGCAAAGTGGGGGAGAACAAGGGGTCACAAGACCAGTCAAGCAAAGCAAAGCAAAGCTCAGGGTGGATCACAAAGTCACCACACATTCCGAGCACAAGTTCAAGGCCACATGGCCAGTTCACATGCAAGATCATATATAGAGATATACAAGAGTCAAGTAAGCAAGAGCAAGAGTATATATAGGCGAAGGTACAAGCAAGGTCAAGAGGAGAGCAAGTGAGGCAAGACAGGCACAAGACCCAACTGCGTGCAACAACGCTGATGATCACAAGGCGCAAGTGCCTTGGTGAAGACATCAGCAGTGTTGGCCTCAGAGGCCACGTACGCAAGTCACAACTGTCCACGCTGCTGTAGCTCACGAGCAAGGAAGTAGCGGAGAGCAATGTGCTTCGTTCTGTGCTCCAGGCTCTGCTCTCGACACAAGGCCAGCATGGCCTTGTTGTCTACGTACAGGACTGGAGGAGAACGAGGCTGCTCTCCAAGGTCGGTCAACAGGTAGGTGAGCCAGCGTAACTCCTGTGCAGCCATAGCCCCGGCGTAGATCTCAGCCTCACAACTGGAGCCGAGAACAGAAGACGAGCGGGTAGCCCGCCACGAAACAGAGCCGGAACCAAGGCTGAAGGTGTAACCCTGTGACGACCGCTGCGTAGCCTGGTCGTAAGCCCAAGAAGCGTCCGCGTGCCCAGTGAGGACCACTGGACTGCGCCCTCCAAGCACTAGCCCCATGCCCGACGTACTGCACAAGTAGCGCAACACCCTCTTCGCTGCAGCCATGTGCTCTGGTCGGTGTCTCCCAGGAGCAACATAGCGTGCGAGAATGCTAAGAGGGTATGCAAGGTCAGGTCGTGTGCAGGTCATCAGGTACATGAGGCAGCCAACAAGCTCTGCATACGGGCCACTCGACTCTACGGACTCATCCGAAGGCAGAGCTGAGAGCGAGTGGCGAGTAGGCAGAGGAGTGGCCTGAGGCGAGGAGTACGTGAAGCCGAAGCGCTGAAGGACCTGCTGCACCATGTGTGACTGAGTCAGGGTAATGGTGCGGCGTGCTCTGTCCCGGGTGATCTGCAAGCCAAGATAGCTGCGCAGTTCACCCAGGTCAGTGCACGTGTGTCTCTTCTGCAGCTCGGACTTCACGTAGGCGAGTCCAGCAGTGTCAGCTGTGGTAAAGACCAAGTCGTCGACGTACACGAGGATGTAGAACGGCGGCAGAGAGGTGTCGGTGCGCAGAAACAGCGACGGGTCGGCAGTAGAAGGAGCAAACCCAAGTGCCGCGAGCGTAGTCCTCAGTGTGTCGTGCCACTCACGTGGCGCCTGGCGGAGACCGTAGACTGGACGCCGGAGACTCCACTGGGTACCAGGAGGGAAAGACCCAGTGAAGCCAGGTGGGCGACGCAGCCAGATCTCCTCGTGCAGGCTGCCCTGCAAGAAAGCTGTGCTGAAGTCGAGAGAGTGCAGCTCGTAGTCACGGTGAGCAGCAACGTGCAGCAGGACCCGAAGAGTGGTCATCTTCGGGGTGGGGGAGAAGGTCTGAAAGTAGTCAACCCCCTGCCGCTGACTGAAGCCACGAGCCACGTAACGCGCCTTGAAGACAGGCGGAGAACCCGGCGGCCGCTTCACCCTGAAAATCCACATGCCACTGACGATGTTCGCCCCAGGGGGGGGAACAGCGTCAACGTAGGTGCCTGTGGACTTCCAGGAAGCCATCTCTGCATCCATAGCTGCCTGCCACTGAGAGGAGTAGGGACCCTCTATCGCCTCCGCGTAAGAGCGCGGAGTCGGGATGTCTGGTGCATCCGGGTCTCCCTCAGGGGCTAGCAGTACAGACGCGAGACGAGGTGAAGCGGCGGCTAGACACTGGAACTCCTCCTGCCTGTCCTCAAGGACGTCCGTGCCAAGGGCACACTCACCCCCGACGGACGGAGGACAGGCGGACTCAGACTCAGTGACAAGACGGGCAGCGTAGTCTAGACGACAGCGCGCAGCAAAGTCGACAAGCTCAGTGACAAGGGCAGACGCAGCAGACGACTCGAAGGAAGGGTCAGTGACAGCTGTAGCAAGGAGACGCGTGACAGTAGGACTGGCAGCACGAAGAGAGTCCGACTCCGGGTCGGCAAGAGCAGGAAGAGAGGAAGCAGGAGGAGAAGGCAAAGGGGCACGCAGAGGAGCAGTGGACGGACGCAGTGACATCCGGTGCGTGCCAGGAACAGGAGGAGGACGCTGACGCGACCCGCGACCACTAGCGCGCTCAGTACGAACAGGCGACACAGGACGAGACGCAGGCTCACGACGCTCAGTAAGACCTCCAGTCGGACCAGTGTAGGGAGACGGAGCAGGCAAAGGGGAGGCAGGCTGTAGCTGTGGCTGTGACCGGACAGGCTGCGGACCCTCTAAGGGAGGAGGAGGAGGAGGCGGAAGACCAAGAACCTGCTGCAGGAGCGGAACGAAGTAAGGTCGGGGCCGCGCGGCGACACCAGAAACAGCAGGAACAGTACCAGCAGCCCCGGCAGGAGTACCCACTCCAGCAGCACCTCCAGCAGCACCACCAGAAGCTCCAGAACCTCCAGCAGCAGCACCAGGAGCACTGTCAGTCGGACCGCCAACGGCAGGCTCAGCGCCAACACCCTCAGTAGCACCAGCTCCAGGAGAACTCTCAGACCCAGCAGCTCCAGCACCCACAGTACGAGCACCGGCGGGACGCGAGGCAGCAGTACCCTCTGCAGCCGAAGAACCACCAGCACCAGCAGCACACCTCCAGCGCCTGGCAAACCACTCACGCAGCTCCTGCGGGGAGAGTGGCTCCCGGCGAGACGAAGCACCCCCAGGCACAGCACCCCCAGGCTCAGCACCCCCAGGCACAGCACCCCCAGGCTCGGCACCTCCAGGCTCAGCACCCCCAGACGCAGCACCCCCAGGCTCAGCACCCCTAGGCACAGCACCCCAAGGCTCAGCACCCCCAGGCTCAGCACCCCCAGGCTCAGCACCCCCAGGCTCAGCACCCCCAGGCTCAGCACCCCCAGGCTCAGCACCCCCAGGCTCAGCACCCCCAGGCTCAGCACCCCCAGCTCAGCCCCCAGATGCCGCACCCCCAGGCTCAGCTCCCGCAGCAGCACCAGAGTCACCAGTGACCTCGAAAGGCTCGACCGCGTCTACCTGGGAGACACCTGAAGGGGCAGGACCCTGAGGGGGGAGGGGGACTACCGGGGGGGGACCTGGTACCAGGAAGAGCGGGGGTGGGGGGAGGGACGGAGTGCGGTAGGGGAAGAGGCGGTAGTAGGGTACCGACTCGTCGAACGTGACGTCCTGGGAGGACAGAACACGTCGAGAGGTGGGGTGGTAAAACTGCCACCCAGGGGCGTCGGGGGGGAACCCCAGGAAGACGCAGGGAGAAGCACGAGGGGACAGCTTGTCCGCAGACAGGTCGCGAACAAACGCCCGAGATCCCCAGACCCGGAACGCCGACGCATCGCCAACCTTCCCCGTCCACAGCAGGGCTGGGGAGGTCTCCGGTCGAGAGACCCTGGGGTGGAGGTTGATCTGGTGCGCAGCGTACCTGACCGCAAACGGCCACAGAAAATGGGGAGCAGCCGCATGCATCATGGACGTACGAGCGACGTCCATGACCATGCCAATGCGGCGCTCAGCAATCCCATTCTGCTGTGGTGAGTCCGGAAGCGTGAAGGTCTGACGGATGCCTCGTGCACGACAGTAGGCACTCAGGAGGCCAGAGGAGAACTCTCCGCCTCTGTCCGAGTGCAGACGCAAAACAGGGAAGTCAGAGCCAAAGCTCCTCCGAAGCTGGAGACGAGCTTCGCGGATCCAGTCGATCAACACCGCAGTGACCTCACCCTTGCTGCGCAAGGGGAAGACTGTGGTGTAACGCGAGTAGTCGTCAACCACCAGCAGGAAGTAGCGCTCCTGACCCTGTCCACGGACGCGGGCTGGGCCCCACACGTCCATGTGAAGCGTCTGCAACGGGGCCTCTGTCGGAGGAAACTGGGAGGAGTGAGGGGCAGCACGCTGGCGCCCCTCGACACAGGGGACACAGGTAGGGCCAGGGCCCGGAGGAAGGGGAGGGAGAGACCGGGGAAGACCAGACACAAGGACTCGCGAGGCCATGCCTCTGAGCCGAAGCAGAGAGGGGTGGCCAAGGCGGTGGTGCCAGAGGAGGGTCTCGTGAGACAGACGACGACACGAGCAAGGGGCAGACTCAGGACCAGACCTGGACGCTGCAGCAAACACCTGACCAGACGAAGGGACCCTACCAGACTCAGCACCTGGAGGAGAAGCAGTGGTCAGTGTGTACAGGCTCGACCCTGGCCGACGTGTAAACGTAGCCAGGTGGCGACCTGTATC